TGTGTATAGGTGTGGTAGGGTTGTTGAGATCAAGAATTGATGTGTATAGGTGTGGTAGGGTTGTTTGTTTTCTGCAAGTATGATTTTTGGAGTCTATTTTTTCTACAGAGACTTCTTTTGTGAGTTGGTTATCAGCAGTATTTTTGGATTGAGTTTCGAGAGTAGCCTGTTACATTGGTTTTGAAAGTCGATTTATGATTTTAAGTGTGTGTGTGTTCTCTAGTGGATTCTTATTATTCACCCAAATACCAAATATTTTGAATCAAAATAAAACAAAAAATTTTAAATCTCCAAAAAAAAAAGTCATGAAAGTGTTCATGAAGCACTTGACAATTTAACATTACTAGAAGTTCTGATGTCACTATGGGACCCTATTGTATTTGTATTGATATTTTTTAAATTTATTTATTCACCAAATTTCTTTGAGTTCTTGACTTTCTTGTTTCTGAGTGTCTCGTGAGTTATGAATGGAAATGTAAACACAAACACCATCCGTATTACAGTTAATTACACTAATTGTTGCTGAGGTCCTTTGCGTACTTTACATTGAAATTGAATGATTAAACCCTTTTTTTGGGGGGAGGAGCAACTCTTCATACCGAGTACTTTAACAGACAGAGATATAAAATGACTCATCTGTATGTAGATACAAATAGTAATAAATGGAATAAAAACAAATCTGTAATTTGAGTGGCTAACAGCATTATTATTCCTCATCTGCATCACTAATATGATTTTCATCACTTACAAAAATAACTGTTTAAAACAATTTTCAAATGTTTGCTTACAATCTTAGTTATAACAAACCTCTTATTTTACAAATACAGTCTCCGTTGAAGGAGCAGATTCACAATGTAGTAAAACCTTACACTTGGCTTTTTGGCATGTGAAATTCAAAAGAAAAGCCTTGTAGATGTTTAGTTACATTCAGTTACTGAAAATCTAGCAGAGATCATGGATAATATTTAATTTAACAATAATCCACAAGTTTTAAAGATGTATAACAGTTTGTGAACTATTTGGACATCTAAACTTTAAGCAGTGTCCGTAAACTAAAAAGTTAGTTTGAAGCCCTGTGGTTGTATATGTTATTGCTCGACTTTCCATTTCTGTTGCACTGAATTATCCAGTGTTTTGTACCAAGTACCCATCCACTTTTGCTACGCCATATTTTAGAAGAATTTATCATGAAACATAGCTAGTAATAAAAATGAATGTTACAACAAAATGATGCAAGTATTAATGATTTTCATACAAATAGACATTCTTACCTTTAATTTACCAGTAAGTAGCCTAAGAAAGTTGCTTCAATTAAAACTAGATGTTAAAACTATTTTGGTTCTTTTATAATTGTGTAAAAGTGATTTAAACTTGTTCTTATATTTCATTTATTTAATAATATTAGTTGAATTTTTATAGGTTGTTTAAATAATGTTATGTGTAATGTTTTAAATTTTAACAAAGTTTTTTGCTGTGTATGTGATGTTTTTGGTTTCCAGGTTGCAGGATATAACACAATTAGTGAAGCATTCAGGAGACTTGACTTTAGAAATGCTGTGAAAGATATAAGAAGATTTAATTACATCTGCAAGGTGAGTCATAATTCATATTGTCAGATGTATACTGTGTGTATAATTGTCTTGGGAAGGCATCAGTTGCTCAACTTGAACTACTTGCTGTCACACAATCAAATGAGTATGGCACAGTTTTCATTGAAAGCATTAAGCCTATCATGCAGATTAAGTTTTTGGTACCACTTTGTCAAATGTAGGTATAATAGCTTTAAAAACTAAACTTGTGTACATCAAATACTAAAGAACATCACTTAGTATATGTAAGAGCTGGACTGTCAGTTAAAGAACTAGAAAGCCAGTGTAATTAGGTTAGACAAGCCAGTTGTACTTCCAGCACACCACAGTTTAGTATAAGTAGATCTGGGTCTAAGGCCTGTTGTTTTTGTTTGTCTGGGTTACTAATGGTAGACCTAATCTTTAATCGAGATCTAGATATAATGTTAGAGATCTGTAAGATTGTTACTACATCTATATGTTCTATATTAACATAAATCTATTAGGTCTAACACTTCGGGTAGGTATAGGCATGTATCAAGGCAATTATAACATGTACTTAACAACAAATTAGTTGTGACTTAACATCATAATAAATAAACTATTGATAATGAATATGGTGTATCGTTGTATTTTCCAGCACCAGTTTTGTAGTTACTGTAACTAAACTTCTTTTCATTCATGACAATTACAAGCTTCTTTTTAAAATGTAAAGTAAAAACTTATTTTGAGGGAGCCATCTTAATTTTTGTTTATGAGTGATTGAGAACTTTAGGTTGTAAGGGGTTAATAAGGATGTGTAAGCTGTGTGGGGGTAAAGTGATGGGTAGGATTAAAGTGATAATGTGTGTGTGTGTGGGTAAGGTGATGGGTAGGATTAAAGTGATAACGTGTGGGTAGGTAAGGTGATGGGTAGGATTAAAGTGATAACGTGTGTGTGTGGGTAAGGTGATGGGTAGGATTAAAGTGATAACGTGTGTGTGTGGGTAAGGTGATGGGTAGGATTAAAGTGATAACGTGTGTGTGTGGGTAAGGTTATAGGTAGGATTAAAGTGATAACGTGTGTGTGTAGGTAAGGTGATGGGTAGGATTAAAGTGATAACGTGTGGGTGTGGGTATGGTGATGGGTAGGATTAAAGTGATAACGTGTGTGTAGGTAAGGTTATAGGTAGGATTAAAGTGATAATGTGTGTGTGTGGGTAAGGTGATGGATAGGCTATGTGATATTAAAGTGATAATGTGTGTGTGTGGGTAAGATGATGGATAGGCTATGTGATATTAAAGTGATTAAATTAATGAGTAGGACAGTGCCATCCGTTATTTAACTTGATATCATAACGTTATTCAAACCAAGAAGAATTTACTGCTGAATGTCTTTTTCAAAATCTTGTTAATAAAATGGAACTATGAATATATTAATAAGTATTAAATTTTATAAATGTTTCACCACAGCATGGTAATGCTAGCAGTTTTGTTCGTATTAAACAAGAATCGTTTCTCCAAACCTTATAGAAAAGAATTATAGAGCAAGCATTGAAAGTTTTAGGCATGTTGAATGTTATTTAAAAATATAAAAAGAAATAACAATAAAAAGCTTGGTTGTCTCATTTCATATAAAATTGTTTTAAATTCTGTTTATCAGTGTATTGGATTTACTCTTAGTAACTGCAGCTTAACAGACTTTATGGACGTTTGAGGTGTTGTTTTACCTTTTCGAAGTAACACATTATACAAGTTGCTTCACTGTGTGATGTGATGGATTACATATTTAAAGTTAACATGATTTATAACATATTGTTTTCATTAAAGGTGAAGAATGACTGTAAAAACTGGTAATTTTTATAATAACCAACTTGAACACCTCTGTTTTTGCAGCTTATTCATCTTATCATCAGTCAAAATTTGACAACACTAAGTGGTTGTGCAACCAAAGTTCTCTTTGCTTTGTTGGAAGAAGTAGCAGGTCAAGGTATGTGAAAGTTATTCATCAAACTTTATTAAAATAGAAAGGTTTAGTAGCTAATCAAAATATTTAAAACACATTCATTTTATTAATAGAAAAGTTTAGTAGTCAATCAAAATATTTAAAACACAT